GCGGCGGCGGCGGCGGCGGCGGCGGCGGCGGCGGCGGCGGCGGCGGACCCACCGGCCGGGCGAGGCAAGCCAGCGCATGCCGCGCGATGTATCGACCCATGGGAAAGTGCGTGCAGCCCCGGCCGGCGGAAGCAGGCGGTTCTGCTCCGGCAGAACCGGGCGTGTATGAAAAGAGCCAGGCGCCCACCCCCGGGCGCGCGCGCGCGCGCGCGCGCGCGCCGGACTGCCCTCGGAATAATTTGGCTGTCCCTCCCTTGGCCGGGGGCCCCCGGCCAGCCGGGGATGCGTGCCGGCCGGCGCCCCGTGTGACAGGTGCCTCCGGCCTGGGACGCGCCTGCGAGGCAGTGTCTCGGCCCCCGTCCGGACTCCGTGTTCCCGTTCTTCCCCCCTTTTGGGCTCCGCCTCTGGACCTTTGGTGTGGTGATTATTAATCCCTGCCTTTTTGCTGGACTCGCCCCCGCCCCACGACCCGCGGCCGCCCCGGTCTCCGGCCCCAGAATGCGCATGGCTTGGTGCCGAAAAAGCAGCAGTTCTGGATAGTGTTATTGCCTCCCGTTGAGGGATTCCCGAGCCCGGGGGGGGCCGGGTCAAGGCGGCAGGAGAACAGCCGCGACCTGGGGCCTGGCCGGCCTCGGCGGGCGGGCGGGCGGGCGGGCGCGCACACGCCAGCACGGGGGCCACGCCGGCCCGGAGGGGCTGTGGCAGGCCGCCCCGGCCGGGCGCACATCTGGGCCCGGGCGCACGCGCCAGCGCGCTCTGCGAATGCATCATCGGCCAGTCATCCGGGCCGCCTGTCTGGCGCCGCTGCCGCGCCGGTCCCCCGGGGGCCCCTGCTGCCTCGCCCGGGCCCGGGCGCCAGGCGGACCCCGCACGGCAGGTGCCGGCGTTTGGCCACCTCCAGGGCGCGGGACAGGCGCGCGCGCGCGCGGGTCCTTCCTCCCCCGCGCCGCGCGGGGGCGGGTCTGGCTTCCCGGAAGCCCGTCCGGTGGCCTCCGGCGTTTGAAGGCGGTGTCCCCCCCCCCCCCCCGAGAGTCGGCGAGGAAAGAGCCGCGTGTGCGGCCTCCCCAGCGCCCCCATATGCACAGGCACACATGCGCATGCGGGGACAGGGCTCCCGCCCGATCAGACACCACTGCGCAGCACAGAGGCTACCCCAGTGATGTGATGCCCGCACGCCCGCGCCCCCGAGGGCGGCCCAGGCGGAATGCACCTGCCACCGGGGTGGCCGAACGCCAGTCAGCCTCTCAGTCCCGTTGCGGGGGCGTGTCCCCCCCCCCCCCCTCCCCCCCCGGGGGGAGGGAGTGGGACACTCCGGGCGCCCGGCCGCGGCCGGCTCGCTCTCGCGATGGCCTCAACCCCGCCCACATTTAGGAACCAGGACGGGCGCCCCTCTCCACCTCGTGTCCTCGCGTCGTCGCAGCTTCCCCCCCCCCCCCCGGTCCGGTGGCGGCGGGTGCGGGGACGCCTCGCAACGCGCGCATGCCCTCTCGCATTGGGCTGGTCGTGCCGCGCCCTCCCACCTCCTGGGAGATCTCCCCCCTCGAGCCAGTTTGGGGCCTGGGGAAGAGCCCGCCGACCGCGCTCCGCCGCGCTGATCACCCGACATGCACATGACCTCGCCGGTAGGGGTGACCGCGAGCGAATGCGCAAGGCGCGCCCGCGCAGGGGCGATCTCCGATGCGCCCCCCCCCCCCCC